TCTGTGCATGTATCATATTCTGTCGGGTCTGTTAGGTCTGCGTTCCTGACGTGCCCGTTGTTTTCCCACTGAATATTTGATGCATCCTGGATACACCTGATTGTTCCAGTCCAGTTTTCCCCGTTCAGTTTTTATCTATGATTTTCGGTCGCCATTTGCAACGCCTGTTTACCTTTCGGCGACTGTACCTCGCGTTTCTCATTGCGAAATGTATTCTTTTTTTTACTTCTGAGGTTTACATCAAAATTTCATCATCATCACAGCTTGCATGCCGCATGTGATCAATATTTTCATGAGATTAGGACTCACCACGTGACTAAGAGTTGTGGCCAAAGGTTCCGGTCATGGTTACCAAGATATTTTGATTGATGATAGATTGACTCATCCTGTTCTGATTAAAACGGCAGTCATTATGCGTAAATGTGGGTTTTACCGTCCCAAGTCAAAAGTGCGTAGTGTGGTATTGAACAAATCAACGTTGCCAAAACATGACAGAATGCATTTGCATGCATGTCAGATTAATCATACACGGTCTAACATACTCGTATTTTGTGCCCTCACCGAATAGGACAGAATTTGTATTATCACATATGGGTGTGCCGCGCCGCTGTTATCTTGAATCACACCAGCTATTTTTTCTCCCGAAGACTCATTCTGGTTTAACTCTCCACGTTCGTTCTGGCAAAAATGTGCTTTGCGGATATTTATGGACTCCCTTAATTCAGTTTACAAAACCCTCAGGAACTGTTTGTTACCTTGTTTGATTTGTTTGTTCGTTTTAGTCGGGAAATATAAGTAGTATGGTTAATTCGTTTCGGTATCGCCATTCTGATTGCAAACAAGATTCTTTGGCTATCCTATTTGGCCCGTGTCTAATTCCTCCTCCGGGCCTCATGGATTAAACTACCCGTTCTCGTAACCGAACCGTAGTAGATCACTGGGCTGACTCTGACTCTTGGTTACACCTAGGTGTGCAACTACCGATCAGTTTTGAATGGTGTACGTTGTACTGTTTCCGATTTAGAACAATTTTATGAGTGTCGCAGATGTAACAAACTGCCAAACATCCGTGTATACTACCAAGTCTCCTTTATTTTTTTTCAAGTCACTATCTGTCGAGATAGTATCTGATTCAGAATCTGGTAATACTAACTGTATTTCTGAAACTATCTCACTGTTCAGCAGATACGGCTTCCGAATGTTTGCGTTGTTTAACTGCTTTATCAATCATGATTTGAACTTAAGATTTTTCTTCCCATTCTAGGCTCTGGGCATTCCGTATCGGATCGTGTCGATTGTATCTGGTGAATTGAATAACGCGGCTGCAATGAAGTATGACCTGGAAGGCTGGTTCCCCGGTTCAGGCGCTTTCCGAGAGCTTGTTTCCTGTAGCAATTGTACGGACTATCAATCACGCCGACTCGCTATTCGTTACGGTCAGACAAAGAAAATGAACAAAAACGTAAGTGCTTTTGTGCACCCTCATCATCTCCACTGACCTGTTCCACTCGTTTCGTTTTCAGTTCACTTTCTCCGCGTTGCTTACCCTTTGCCTCAAACTGCACAAAGTGATAAAACACAACAATGCATGTTTGCGCACTGGTGCCATAAACCACCTAATAATTTCACTGCCTTGGTCCTCCAGGTTAGGGGTTTGACTCGAGTTAGCGCCTCGGTCGGTAAAACGGTAGAGGAGTAATAGATCCAAGAAAATGGGCCTCTGCTCCGCTTTACCCGCTGCCTTGCGGTCAGGTTCTTGTCAGAACTAAAGGCTTTGGACTAGCACCCTAATCGTTCTCCTGCTTAGTGGCTGGACACCTTGGAAGTACCCGTCC